ATTAAGCAAATTGCGGAGCTCTGTAGACATGAAGCAAGTGCCTTGATCTGAATATGAGCTGGCATACTAAATAAAGTGAAAAGTTGAGTTAAACATTTAATTACGGTTGAAGTTGAGACATCATAACAAGGAAATACAAAGGGAAATCTTGAAAACTCATCAACAACTATTAAAAAATATTTGTTGCTAGATGAAAAGAAAATAGGTCCTTTAAAAGCCATTCTTAGTTGCTCAAAAGGTTGAGTAGATTTTATTAAGGTGTGGTTAAAATTGCTTACATAGATTTTAGGTTTTAATTCAGCACAAATTTGACACAAAGAAATGGTTTTTGTTACATCATAAATTGAAAAAGGTAGATTTTTTGATTTTATAAAATGATACATTCTGGTGATTCCAGGGTGACAAAGAGGTTCATGTAATTCCTTAAGAGAGGGTCCATTTATAGTCATAGAGCAACAAGACCTAGAGACAGTATCAGCAACAAAATTGCTATGTCTAGAGAGAAACTATATCATAGCTGTACAAAGAAAGTTCTATCCTCCATCTCAGAATCTTGTCATTCTTAATTTTTCCACTCTTGTTATTGTCAAACATGAAAGAAACAGAGCGCTGGTTGGTGACTAGAGTAAAATGCCAACCAACAAGGTAGTGTTTCCATTTTCGAAGTGATTCAACAATAGCATAAGCTTCCTTCTCAACAGAAGAATGTTTTTTTTTTCAGTAGGTGAAAGTTTGCGAAAAAAAAATGCAACTGGTCTTCCAGCCTGATTAAGGGAAGCAGCTATGTCAAAATCGGAGCCATCTGTTTCCACCTCAAATGGTATACTTTCATAAATAGTTTGTAGAGCTGATTGAGAGATTAATTCTTTCATTTCATTGAAACATTTAATAGCTTTAGTTGACAGTGGAAAGGTAGAAGTTAGAGATAAAGGATGAATTTTGTCAGAAAAGTGTTTTGTATATTGGGAGTAGTATGAGAACATACCAAGGACTTGACGGAGAGAAGCATTATCAGTGGGATCAGGCATTTCAATTAATGGCTTTAAGCAATCTGGATCAGGAGAAAAAGAGCCACTTTTTGTAACCTTGGAAACCTTGGAAGGTTATACATGAAGTAGAAAATATAGATTTTTCTTCATTAAACGTAAACGTTGCTTTTTTAGAAGCTTCAAGAAATTTTTTTGAATTGAAATCATGTTTATTTTTAGTTGTACCACATACAAGCATGTTATCTAGATATACAAAGGTGTCTTCTAATTTGTTTTCTTGAATAAACTTATTCATGATTCTTTGAAAAAACTCAAAGGCAGTATAATACTTGTCACTTTCTAAGAGAGATATTTGGTGATAAGCACTTTTTAATTCAAATGTGCTAAATAATAAATATTTTGCAACAGAGTTAACTAATTCATTGATGTTAGGTAAAGGATAAGCATCAAGTAGTGTAAATCGATTTATTGTTTGTGAGTATTCAAAGACCATCATTTCTGATGCCTCTCATTCGTGGTAACAACTATTGGTGATTGCCAAGGAGAGTTACTGGATTCAATTACATCTAGTTTCAAAAGTTTTTTAGTTTCTTGCTCAATGAATGCTTTGTCCTCTGAGTTATATCGTCTAGAAGGTGAAGCAATTAGTCTACATTCTGGAGAAATGGGAAAATAGTGCTAGCTTTCGTTGTAGTACTATCTTAATATTATAGTACTTCATACCAAATAAAGTGAAGTTAGTTGAAACTTTACCTGTAACTTGACAAGATATACTTCCTTCTAATAAAAGAGTCTCT